AATGGGGCACAGGTCTACTCTATAACACATGGAGTCACCCATAAGTTAGAATAAACTCGATGGCAACTAACAACGGCAAAGTGCACAAATGTTCTTTTTTTTTTTTTTTTGTCCAAAGTTTTGCACATTTTATCTACTGGAATGTTGGTTCCCAAGGAGTAAACATTTGCTTCTTGCCTCTAATATGAAGTATCTACTATAGTCCTGCTGTGCTGCTGTGGGTTAATGTGCAAACGACTGCAAAGTCATTTGAACCACAAGGTCGGTAATTGAAGCCCACCAGCTGCTCCTTAGAAACCCTATACAGGGTTGCTATGGGTCAGAACCAACTCAACAGCACTTAACAACAAGAATGATAGCCCAAAGGTAGCCTGGTGAGTAATAAGTTGGACTGCTAACTGCAAGGCCAACAGTCCAAATGCACCAGTCGCTCAATGAGAAAAAGATGAGGCTTTCTGTTCCCATAAATAGGAGCAGCCTCAGATACCCTGTAGAGGGTTGCAATAGTCAGAACCAACTCCATAACACACAACCACCACCACTGCCACTATAGCTCAATGGTCTTTTTCCAATTTTCAACTCACGTTGACCCCCACCTAATGTATTACTATTTAATCATATTTTGATTGAACATTTTTGTTTCTACAGCTTTTATTTCCTGTCATGATTCTTAAATAAGGTTCTACTTCTAATATTGTATAGTTCTATGAACCAAACACAGTTGATAATATATACTCTTAAGCCAGTGTTTATAATTAAAACTGAAGTGTGAGATGAGGAAACTTCAAGGAAAGTGCTCTTACCATCTTCCTTTAGGGATCAAAACCCCACCAACAACTGCTGTCAAGTTGATTCGACTTACAGTGACTTTGTATGTGGTTTCCAAGACTCAATTTTTACAGGAGCAGACAGTCTCATCTTTCTCCTACAGGGCAGCTGGTGGATTCGAACCACCAGCCTTGGAGTTAGCAGTCCAGTGCCTAAATTACAGTGCCACTAGGGACCAGGGCTCCTTAGGAATCACAAGAATGCCTTGTTACTACGTGCTGCCATTGTGCAGAGTCCTGGTATGGCACAGTGGGGTAATGCGCTGGACTGCAAAGTCGGTTTGAACAGCAAGGTCGGTGCTTCAAACTCACTAGCCTCCTTGGAAACCCTATACAGGGTCGCTATGGGTCAAAACCAACTCGACGGCATTTAACAACAACAACAAGCGTTGCATGTCAGGAGAAAGATGAACATTTCTGCACCTGCAAAGATTTGCAGTCTCGGAAACTCTATATAGAGTGGCTATGAGTTGGAACCAACTCGATGATACTTAACAACAACAACCATTGTATGTGGAGTCATAGGGTGTCACAAATGGTTGGCTGCTAACTCAAAGGCTGGCTAACCAAAATGGTAGCAGTTCCCAGCAGTTGGTTTTCTTTTGTTATTGTTTTTTTAAGCAACCAGTTTTAAAACAATAGTTTTGAATTATTCCTTGTTCATTTTATTTCAGAAAGTGATAAAAAATAGTTGTGGAGTATACACCTAGTGAGGAAATCATAGATTCCAGAACCAAAGAAGAACTCCAGGAGTTCATTCATGTATGTGGAGATCCATAGCTAGTGTGGCCATCATTCCACACAACCAGCAGGTTTGAGAGAACTCAGACACTCACAGAAAGCTGTCAGTCTTATGAGAACATGAAATTCTGAAACTGCTTTTCAGGGCAAGTCATTCCTAAGGCTTTTCCTGAAGCCTTGGCCCTTGACTCTGATTCTTTATCTAAAGTTTAGAGAGCAGGATTGAGAAACATCAGAGCACTCTGGCAGCTGTGGACAGATCTAAAGAGGTCTTAACCCCTAAAGAGGTCATTCTCCCCTTTAGGGCTTAATAATGTGAGGCTGCTTGAACCAGGCCTTTTAGAACTTCCCTCAAACAGGATCCCAGAGGTTGGGGGACTAAAGAACTATGACCGTAATGGGTCATATGACCGTGAATGTGCTATAACTTTTGAAAAATGTTATGTCTTTCAAATAAGGTATATTGCCTAGATCTCAGAACCTCATGTCTTATATGAAAATGAAATGGTGTCCTGAAGGAATTTTTGTAATAAATCTATTGTCTAAATTAAGCATTAATCTGCCAGGATCATATCTAAAAGAAACTTTCTTAACTGTAGGATTCTTTTCTTTAATAATAATGGTAATAGCAATCAAGTTGGGAGCAGAAAGTTGTGTTTCATTAACCTGGACCAATGGGAGCTTCACTGAGTTGCTGGATGTTTGATTACTTAACTCACCCCACAGTTGCAAAGTGTTTTGTTTTGAAGGGAAGAAGGTAGAAAAAGAGAAGGTTGTTCTCCTCTGGAAAAGTACTTGATTTTTCCATGTAAAATAATTGTTTTCGTTAATTGAAATAAAATCCCGTCAAGGGAACTTCAGGCTTTTCCAGCTGGGCTTTAAGAAGTCTAACTCCTGTTGAATATAAGATTCAATATTGGTGCTAAAGATTTCTGAAGCCTCTTTTTTTTTTAATGTTTTATTGTGAATTATGTGATAGTTTCCATGGAGAACATTATATTACATTCATCCTATCGTATATCTTGTCATTGCCATGGTTACAATCCCCTCCATGCATCATCACCCAACCAAAGGGTATACACTACAAGCCTGCCCCCCAGTCGTCGGCACACAGGCCCTCTTCCTCTCTGTGCCTGAAGTCCCCAGCTGCTCCACCTCTCCACGTCATCGTCTCTGACTCCATCTCAGGCATTACTGCTTCTGAAGCCTCTTAAAGCAAAAGACCTATCCTTATGAGGCCATCTTGGAGTCAATGTCATTTGAAAACCATTACTATATGTCAACTCATATATATGCTTCCCATTGCCCTATAGCCACGCTATAGGACTGAGCACATATGCTAGACACTGGGAATAAGATGATGAAGCATGCCTCCTCCCCCCTTGAAGTGTATATGCTAGAGGGTTTGCTAGAAAATAAGCAAGAAAATAAGAATATGCTTCAAAAAGTTCATTAAATATTTAAATGAAAAGATAATGGAATTTTTCCATGAACTTTCTGAAGCCCCCTCTGGTAAAGAAGAGATTATAAGAAAAGTCTATAAATAAACAATTGGGTGTGGTTTTAGTAGTATTTCAAGAAGTCGTTAACATGCTAGCTACTTTGACATCCTTCTCCATGTACACAAAGGTATAAAGGTGGACCTCCCAAAAGCTGGGGTACTTTTTCTAGATGTGTGACTGTGTTGAATGAAACAAGGTGATATGGGGGAAGTTTTTCCATGCCAATGTGAAATGCTTTGTATTGGGATTAAAACCCTCTCAGACCAAACTGCCAGTTCTCTAAGCCTCCTCCAGAAAGTTTGGCATCATCACTGAGTAGTGGTGGTGGTGGGGTTATGTGCCTTGGAGTCGATTCCGACTCACAGCGACCCTTCACAGGGTTTCTGAGGCTGTAAATCTATCCGGGAGCAGAAAGCCTCATCTTTCCCCTGGGGAGGAGTGGTCCCCTACCTAACACAGTAGTGAGATAATAAATACGGAACAAAGAGGAGAGGAGAGTTTAGAGGAAAAAGAAACCTTTTGGAATCACTTTAATGTCTGGGTGTTGATGCCCCTAAATAGCTCTCATTTTACAGGCCAGTTACTTTTCTTGGAAACAGTATGGACAAGAGGAGGAAGAAGTTCTGGGGTTGAGTTTGGAGGTGGTAGAGTTCTGGCTGCCAGAAACGCACTAGCACTTTCGAGTATGCTTAGAAGCTGGTGAAGCTGGAGCCTGAGGGCTGAGGTGGGGACAGAAGTCCTAATCCTGCCTTGCTGTGAGGGTGGGGGATATGAAGCCCTGCCTCATCTTCAAGGAAACGGAAGCTTGGGACCTGGTGATTCTAGGAAAAGGGCATAGTGGCATGGAAATGACCTCTGAGTTAATAAAGGTGGTGCGTAAACAAAGGTGTCATAAATAAAGGATGGGGCACGCGGCGTGGGAGGGGCACATGGTTGGTAAGGTGCGCATGCATCAAGGGCTATCATAAAGGTTGGGTTCCCACTTCGGGCATGGTGCCATCGCTTCATTGGCCTGGGTCGCTGCACCACAGAGGCTCTGCGTATCATGTCCGGACAGCGTGCCTGGCATTGCGGCTTCTACTCGCGCTGCAACCCCTTTGGCTGCTGGTCCTGGCTGCCCTGCTTCCAGAGTGGGCCCAGGACCTAACTAAACCCTTGTCTTCACCCTCCCCTGATCACCTACCCGAATTGCCCCACAATCTTATATCCTTGCCTGAGCCAGAGGGCTCTGACTACATGGATCCTCCTGCTCCAGCCCAGATGCTGGCCCCACCTCAGGAATTAACTGAGACTTTGGACATGGATTCAGTTACAGAGCAACCCCCAATGCCAGACCAGTTTGCTGGCACACATCAGCATCTTAATGATCACCTAACTCTACATCAGAAGCTTCCAGAGGTGGGTCCTGTGCTAGACCAGGATCAGAATCAGGCCTTAGCTCTGCCTTCTCAACTCAAAAGTACGATTAAAACTCCAGGTTTGTCAGGATGAAGGTCACCAGTCATTTGAAATACTTGTACCGCCTCTAGACAGTCATAGTTCGAAAGCAATTAAGTTTATTGTTTCACCCCCAAACCTGAAAAAGGATCTAGCTCAGCATAGATGACTTGCTAAAGTTGTTGTTGGAACTTCAGGCCAATTAGCAAAAATAACTAACCGACTAAATCAACCCGAGGATGACTACCTTCTAGACCCAAGTTTTGATAGATTATATCCTCCAGACAGCCTACCCCTAGAATTCCTAGGGACCCCAGCTTCACCAACCTCTTGGCGTAGTCAGTCTCCAGAACCCCCTGAGGAGGTTGGATTTCAGCCTACTCTACCTTCTGACGTGGAAGGTCCTGAGCTTCCTGAGGAGGAGGAACCTTCAGTCCAACAAGAGGTTCCTCAGGCAATGAAACCTTTCATAGCCCATCAGGAAGTTCCAAATATGCCTCTAGAGCCCCCTACGGAGATGGAACCATTTCTACTCCAGCAGGAAGGCCCAGCTGAGACTTTGCAGACCACTGAAGAGGTTAAACCTCCAGTCCCAGAGGAGGTCCCATCTAAGCCTTCAGAACCTCCTCATAAAGTAGAACCTTCTCCAGTGCAACAGGAAACCCCATTTCAGACTCCAGAAGTACTTGAGGAGAGTGAGCCATCGCTAACTGAGCAGGAGGCCCAGACTCAGTCTCTACAGCCACCTGAGGTAGTTCCAACTCCAAGTTCAGTGCATCATGAGATGACTCTTCAACCTCCAGGGCAGAATCAAATTCATCATTCAACCTTGCCCAGTGTCACAATTAAACCAGTGGATGTGGAGCTTGCCCTAACTCAAGAGCCTACTGAGAAAGTTCCATTATGTCCAACTTAGCAGGAAGGCCTAGCACAGCCACTAAAACTTCCCCAAGAAGTTAAACTGCCAACTCAGTAGGAGGCCACAGCTCCATCTCAGATGCCCTCTGAAGAGGTTGAGCCTTTTCCAGAACAGCAAGATGTCCCAGATCACCTTCTAAAGCCCACTGAGGAAGCTGAGCCTTCTCCAGTCCAACAGGAAGCCTTAGCACAGCCTCTAAAGCCTCCCCAGCAGGTTGGATCTTCTCCAGGCCAGCTGGAGGCTCCAGCTCACCCTCCAAAGGCCTCTGAAGAGGTTGAACCTTCTCCAGTCCAGCAGGAGGTTCCAGCTCACCCTCCAAAACCCTCTGTGGAGGTGGGACCTTGTCCAGTCCAGCAGGAGGCAGCAACTCACCCTCCAAAGCCCTCCGAGGAGGTGGGACCTTCTCCAGTCCAGCAGGAGTTTCCAGCTCACCCTCCAAAACCCTCTGTGGAGGTGGGAACTTCTCCAGTCCAGCAGGAGGCAGCAACTCACCCTCCTAAGCCCTCCAAGGAGGTGAGACCTTCTCCAGTCCAGCAGGGGGCTCCAGCTCACCCTCCTAAGTCCCCTGTGGAGGTGGGACCTTCTCCAGTCCAGCAGGAGGCTCCAGCTCACCCTCCTAAGTCTCCTGTGGAGGTGGGACCTTCTCCAGTCCAGCAGGAGATTCTAGCTCACCCTCCAAAGCCCTCCAAGGAGGTGGGACCTTCTCCAGTCCAGCCGGAGTCTTCACCTCACCAGAGCATCCTGAAGAGTTTGAGCCTTATCCAATGCAGCAGGAATTCCCAGCTCACCCTCCACAGCTTTCTGAGGACTTTGAACCTTCTCCGGTCCTGCAGGAAGCCCTAACACAGCCTCCAATATCTCCAGAGGAGCTAGAGCCTTCTCCAGGGCTACAGGAGGCTCCATCTCAGGCTTCAGAGCCCCCTGAGGAGTTTGGACCTTCTCCAATACAGCATGAGGCCTCAGCACAGCCTCCAAAGCCCTCTGAGGAGGTGGAAACTTCTCCTGGCCAACAGGAAGCCCCAGGTGCAGCACTAGAACACTTTGAGGAGATTGAACCATCTCCAGTCCAGCTAGATGCCCCAGATCTCCCTCCAGAGCTTCCTGAAGAAGTGGAACCTTCTCCAGTCCACCAAGAAGCCCCCACACTGTCTCCTCCGCTTCCCCATGAGTTCAAACCTCCAACTGAGCAGGAGGCTCTTGTTCCACTTGCAGAGTTCCCTAAGGAAGTAGAACTTTCTCCAGTGCTGCAGGAAGTTCCAGGAGAGCCTCCAAAACCATCTGAGGGTATTGAACCTTCTGCAAGTCACCAGGAGTTTCCAGGTGAGACTCTAAGTCTCCCTGAAGAAATTAAACCTCCTTCAACAGAGCAAGAGGCCCCAGCTGCATCTCCAGAGTTCCCTGAGGAGAGTGAAACTCCAGGCCAGCAGGAAACCCCAGCACAACCTCCTGAACCTCCTCAGGTTAAACCTCCAACCAGCATGAGGCCCCAGCACAGCCTTCAAAGCCCTCTGAGGGTATTGCACCTTCTCAGACTCAGCAGGAATTGCCAGCTAAACCTTCAAAGCCCTCTGAGGAAACCACACCTTCTGGCACCCAGGAGGAGGCCCCTGTTCAGGCTTCTTCAGTACAGCAAAGGGGCACACATCAGCCTGTAAAACTCCCTGAAGAGGTGGAATCTTCTCCCGCTCAGCAGGAGGCCCCAACCCAGCCTCATGTTTCAAACTTGCCCAATGTTACAGTTAAGCCTGCTGATATGCAGCTGACCCTACCTTCAGAACCCACTAAGGAGGTTCATTCATGTCCAACCCAGCATGCTGTCCCACCTCAACCACCAGAGACTCCTTCTGAGAAGGGGAAATCTGCAATGAAACAGGAGTCTCCAGTTCAGTCATCAAAGACTCAGGAAAATGTTGAGCCTTCACCAATTCATCCTCCTGAAGAGGTCAAACCTCCAACCCATCAGGAGGACCTAGCTCAGGCACCAGAGCCCCCAAATGTGGTTTTAACTTTACCTTCATTGCATGATGAAGTGGCATTTCAACCTCCAGGTCCTCCACAAATTCAGCATTCAGTCTTGTCTCAAGTATCATTCTCCAACACAAAGAGATGCCCCAATTCAGCCTCCGGAGTCCCCTGAGGAGATAGGGCTTTTTTCAACTGAGGGGCAAATCCTAGCTCAACCTCCAGATCCACGTAAGGAGATCAAATCTTCAGCCCTACAAGAGAACCCAGATCCTCCTGATGATTCCCAGTGTTTTATAATTGAGTAGGAGGACCCACCACAGCTTAGAAAGCTCAATAAGGAGGATGAAATGTCTCCTATCCAGCAGGAGGACCCATCTCAGCCTTCAGAACTCCTTGAGGAGGTTGAACATTCATCAATTCAATGGGATGACCCAACACAACCTCCTGATCCCATTAAGGATGAAGCTTCTCTAACCGAGCAGGAGGACCTATCACTACCTCCAGAGCCCCCTACAGAGGTTTTAAATCAACCAGGAGGCCATCATGAGGTGATGGTTTTACTTCCAGGACAAAGTGAAGCTCATCATCTAATGTTGCCCAATGTCACAGTTAAACCTATGGACATGGAGCTTACCATAACTTCAGAAGCCACTACAGAGGTTCCAGCACCAGTCCAGCAGGAAATCACAACTCAATCTCCAGAGCCCCTTGATGAGATGGAACCTATTCCAAACCTATTCCAAACCCAACTCAAACTCCAGAGCCCCTTGATGAGATGGAACTGATTCCAAGCCAGCTGGTGGCCCCAACTCAAACTCCAGAGCATCCTACAGAGGATGAATCTTCTCCAAACCATCAAGAAGGCTCATCATAGATTCCAGAGTCCACTGAGAAGGTTGAACCTTCTCCAGCCCAGGAGGAGGACCCAACAAAGCCTGCAGATCCCACTGAAGAGGTCCAACTTCCTTCAGGCCAGCAAGAAGCCCCAGTTCAGCTTCCAGAGGAACCTGAGGAGGATGAACCTCCTTCAACCATGCAGACCCCACCTGAGACTTCAGAGCCTCCTACAGAAGTTGTCAGTCAACACCCATGGAACCATGAAGCAGTTGCACCTATAGGTCAGAATGAAGTTCAGTATCCAACATTGCCCACAGTTCAACATCTGGATATGGAGCTTAATATAACTTCACAACCCACTACAGAGGCAGGACCTTCCCCAACCCAGCTAGAGGCTTCATCCCAACCTCCAACTGAACCTTCTCTATTCCATCAGGAAGCCTCATCTCAGCCTCCAGAGCCCCCTAAGGAAATAGAGCCTTCTCCAGCCCAGCAGGAGGCCCCAACTCAATCTCCTGAGCCCCTTATGCAGGCAGAGCCATCTCCAATTCAGCAAGAGGCCCCATCTCAGCCTCCAGTCCCCCCTAAGGAAGTTGAGCCTTCTCAGCCCAAGAGAGCCCAGTTCAGTCTCCTGAGCCTCCTATGCAGATAGAACCTTCTCCAACCCAGCAAGAGGCCTCATTTCAGCTTCTAGAGCCCCTTAAGGAATTTGAATCTTCTCCAGTCCAGCAGGGATTCTCCACTCATCTCCTGGGCCACCTATGCTGGTAGAAGCTTCTCCAACTCAGCAGGAGATCCCATCTCAGCCTCAAGTGCCCCCTAAGGAAATTGAACCTTCTCCACTTCAGCAGGGAGTTGTAACTCAGGCTCCTGAGTCCTCTATGCAGGTGGAATCTTCTTCAACTCAACAGGAGGTCCCATTTCAGCCTACAGAGCCTCCTAAAGAAGTTGGGCTTTCTCCTGCTCAGGAGATTCCACCTCAGTCTCCAGAACTGCCTAATGGGACACTATATCCAGTACAGCAGGAGGTCTCCAATCCACCTCCACAGCCCCCTGAATTAGTAGGCCAACCTTCTCCAGTCCAGCAGGAAACACCTACTCCATTTAAAGAGCCCCCTTCAAATGCAGAGCAGGAGATGCCAACTGCACTTCCAGAACCCCCTAAGGAGGTAGAACCTTCTCCAGTCCAGATGGAGTCTCCAGCTCTACCTCCAGAGTCCTCTGAGAATAACCAACCATCTCCAGCCCAACAGGCAGCCTCTGCCCTGCCTGCAGAAGCCCCTAAAGAAGTTGAACTTTCTACAATCCAGCAAGAAGTCCCAGTTTCACCTTCAGGTGAAATAGAGCCTTCTCCACCCCTGAAGAAGTCCCACCTCAGGTTCCTGAGCCCTCTAAGGAAGCTGTGCCTTCTCCAACCCAGAAGGAGGTACAAGTGCATCCTTCAGAGCCCCGTAAAGAGATGGAGTCTTCTGCAGTCCAGCAGGAGACTCCATATCAGCCTCCTATGCCTACTAATGAGGTGGAATCTTCAATCCAGCAGGAATCTCCAACACAGCCTTCAGACCCTACTGAGATGGTGAAATCTTTGACAACCCAACAGTAGACCCCAGCTCAACCTCTGGAACCTCCTAATGAGGGTGTAGCTCAACATCCAGTGTTCGATGAGGTGACAATTCCACCAATAGGCTAATATCAAGTTCAGTACTTAAGTTTGCCCAGCGTTACAGCTCAACATATTGACCTGAACCTTACCATAACCCAGAACACACTATGGAAGGTGAACATTCTACAACCCTACAGAAGACCACAACTTCTCCAAATTGCCCTGAGGTGACACTTGTACATCCAGAGCAGGTACAGGCTCAGCAGCCAAACCTGACTGAAGTCACAGTTCAACCACCGCACTTGGAGATTATTATAACTCCAGAACCCAATATGGAGGATGAACTTTCTCCAACAACACTGGCAGGTCAGGATCAAGCTAAGCACTCAAATTTACCCAAAGTTACCATTAAGCCTGTAGATCTGGAGCTTACCATAACTTCAGAACCCATTACAGAGGTTGAGTGTTCTACAACCCTAAAGAAGACCACAGTTCCATTGGACTTGGAGCTTACCATATTTCCAGAACCTAATACAGAGGTTGAGTCTACTCCAACCAAGCAGGAAACTCTAAGTCACCCTCAAAAACCTGC